CTGTGTAGTCTGTAATGATCTTCACTCCACTTCAGTCTCACAGACTGTTTTAAGATTTTTTCTGGGCGTTTTAAAGCCCTGAGGCAGATGGAACAGGATTTGGTTCCTCGTGGCCTTCGTGAACTTATCTGATGTAACATATTTAGACATACCATTGTGGTCTGGAACTCACTGCTGAACGAGTTCTGTTTTTGTGGGGAGCATTCTGCTGTTTTTATTTCATGATGCTCTCCCATTTGAAGCATGAAATGGCTTTGATTCTCTATAACACAATAAAACTCGGTCTCAGTCGCTTTATATGCCGTGATGTTATGAAGTCTCAAGTTGTCCGTGACTCCTTCAATCCATCTTCTTCTTGGTCTTCCCCTGCCTCTTGGTGTTTCGATTTTCATGTTGTATGCTCTTGATGCTGGCATCGTTGGTTCCATTCTCATTAGGTGACCAAACCATTTCATTCTTTGCTTCTCAATAAATTTAACGATGGGTATGGTTCCAATAGTTCTTGTAATCACATCGTTTCTCACTCGATCTCTTCTGGTTTTATTCGCAGCCATTCTCAAACATCTCATTTCACAGGTGGTTAGTCTTCTCTCGTGTTCTTTTGTTAATGTCCAAGTCTGACATTGATAACCTAATGTCGGTATAAAGATTGTAATTATAATTTGTCTTTTTATCTCAGCTGGGACAGCAGGGTGTTTTAAAATTGGGGCAAGCTGGTATGCGACATTGTTGGCTTGTTGAATTCTTGCTTCGATCTCTCTGTCTATTTTACCATTGAATGTAAAGATACTTCCCAAGTATTTAAATTCTTGCACTTGTTTTAGGCTGTGATCTAGAATCTTTATGTCGATGGTCTGTTGCTCTCTACTTATGCTCATGACTTCTGTCTTTTCAGTATTGATCTTCATGTGATGCTTGAGGCAACTATCGTGTAGTAGGTTTATGTGGTCTTGCAGCTGTTTACTACCACTGTGAAATAGGCATTGATCGTCGGCAAAGAGCAGCTCATTGAAGTCCTCCTGTTTTTCGATATCTGTTGGTGTTATGTCTATTTTATTTATATTGTCCATAAATATTATGAAAAGTAAAGGTGATAATACACAACCTTGTCTTACTCCTGATGTTACTGGGAACCAGTCTGTGATGCCAGCTCTTGTTCTAATGGCGCTTTCACTTTGTCTATAAATAGCCCTAACACAATCTAAAATTGTTCCATTTATACCGTAGTTTTCAAGAACTTTCCATAATAAATTTCTGTTTACTCTATCGAAGGCTTTTTCTTGATCTATGAAAGGGATGTTCATTTGATGTCTGTGTCCTATTGTCTTTTCGCTAAGTCATGTGCATTACTATTGCTAAAATTGATCAAGGCCGCATCTATAAAACTCAACTCTCTATGTTATGTAAACAAAAAGAGCACGTGATAAATTTGAAGCTACCATGGTAATCACGTGACTGATCTTGAATTTCCGGAGGATAGATACACAACGACTCGAAAATTTGATGCATTTCAGCGAGAAAATAAATCATTTTGTGCTTTATTATATGTTAATTTAATGCCGTAGTAACGCACCTGACGAGATACAGCGAAATACGCCAGGCAATAAATAGTGCAATGTATTATTGAGAACAAACATCTTAGCAGAATACTAAATCTCTACTGGACAGATTTTAGATTCAATGCGCAAAAAAGGCAAGAGACCAAGCAAGACAATGTATTTAGTTTTAAAAGAAAGCGTCGCTGGATTTACAACGGCCATGCACTCGGAATGGATAAGACAAGACTTACCCACCAAGCCCTCATTTGGACACCAGAAGGGAAAAGAAAACCAGGAAGACCAAGGGAAACTCTGCGTAAAACCATCGTCAGGCTCAACTATGGGCCTAACAAACATCCAAGACCTAAAGCAGGTGGCAACGAACCGCCAGCCATGGAAAGCTATGACCTTTACTCTATGCACTGTTTAAGGCCAAAGACGAAAGACTGACTCACTAATTGTTCGTTTACTGAAAACCATCTCATAGACGGTCCCAGTGGCAACATGGGGCCCTAGCCGCTTCGCTGAAACGCTCCATTGAAAGACGCAAAGAAGAAGAGGTAGAATGAGGATGTAAGGAGGTCTTAAGCAGCAGAATATACAAAGACAATATCAAAATCGGTGGCGTGAAGATGAAAGGCAAAAGTAAAAGACATGATTTGATACTATTGATGCAGAAGTGTGTGAGCAGACGAATGAAACAACACATGTTTATATAACTTTGGTTTATAATCTTTAATATGAGCAAAACTGTAAGAAAATATAACTGAACAAACAAGATTTGCTTACTCATTTGTTGTATCTTTCATTGACTTTTCGCTCTCTCTCCCCCGCTTTCATGAAAACACTGAAAAAACTAACTATATATTCCGACTTCACATATACACCCTTAGTTTTACAAAAGTACACAGATACACAAAATGTAAATTTGTCTATCTGTCGGTGTGCATATCTGTTTGTCTTTCTTTCCCTCCCATAAAGCACTGGACAACTAATTATATATTCACATACGCACACTCAGTTTAACTATATTTACACAGATACACAAAACATGTCTATCTGTCAGTGTGCGTACCGCTTCTGTCTCTCTCTGTCTCTCTCTGTCTTCTCTTTGCTGACTATCTATCTCCTTGACAACTAATAAATATGAATACAAATTCGTTCAAAGATCGTTTATCGTTACTCTACACAAGCGCGCGCACACACGCATACACACTACGATATTCCCTTGTATGTTTCTCACCCTCATACAACTAAATAATCGCTATATGTACGTATCTTTCACATAACATCTCCCTCTCTCTGTCTCTCTAGAAGAGATGGCTGTAGGATGAGCTTGCACGTCCAGTTCATTACACCTTCGAAAAAAAGTTTGCTTGTCGGTATGTTCGTTCTCTTAAACCCCTTTACACTTTATTTACAAACTTTCACTTTCATACACATATATGTGAAAACTCAGAGCAAAATGCATACATTTTCCCCCACACACATAGAAATGACCGTGTTTCAACAAATGCATACGCCTGCATAAAACACACAGTATTCACAAAGTCTTGAACCTTCTTCTATGAAACAAGATTCATTAAACATATTTAAAAAAACAAATCTTTGGTTGATAGCCATTTTCTTTCTGCGCCCTTGTCTGCGCACCCACGCCACGCAGACGACAGAACGATAGCCCCCTCCGAAGGAGCTGTCACTTCAAACGATGCATTAATATCGGTTAATACGAGTTCAAATCCATTTTAAAGCATTTACAAAAGCATTTACATTAGCATGTAAATACAGCAAGATCATATGGCGAAATATTTGCGATAATTACAGAATAGAAAATACGATACCATTATCTGCTTTCGCCAATTGTCGGATATTAATGAACATACATACCGTTCAAGTAATTTAAAAGAAAGAGTCCTTTTCAAAGCATAGGGCATATGGTAAAGTGAAGTAACGGAGCTTCTTTACGCCAGTAGAACAGAGAGCATGGCAAATGGTCCATGTTCATTTTAGAAAACAATCACAACGTCGACTACGTTCAACCGATTACATTTATGGTCTGGCTATTTGTGGACTCTAGTCATGTTCCAGAACTTTTACAGATGTAACTGTTTTGCATGCAGACTGTTCCTTCCTCGCCGTGGTTTACAGTGTCTCAAACTGATGTTCGTTCATCTCTTAATGGTATCATACTAAGTGCATATCAACAGTGTGGTGGCCATCTTTAAACTGTCGTTATGATGTCACCGTGTATGTCTGCACCATGATGACTGCTAACACTCTTGGCATCCTTAACAACAATACTGACAGGTTATAAGACAATGACACGGTTATTGTTATTTCTATCACAGTTTTAAGATTTTCATTTCAAACTCACACACAAAAATATTTCCAACGGTGAACTGGTTCAGCTGCCGGAAGATTCTCCAATTAGGGAGTTTTATAGTGGGCGTTTCTGTAGCTGTTTGTCTTCAGCTCTAGAAGTCTTGGGTTCACTCCGCAGTGGATCGTTACTGGGTTGTACTCTGCACAACGCTCTCAGCAGATGACTAACATTTCTGCGGAGACAGACATGGTCTTTTGGGACAGAACCCGGTGTGAAGTTGTTGTCCACTTCTGGGCGTCAGTCTTGTTCCATAACGTTACTTCTGCCTGCACACCTGCTTTACAGATCTGGCTTATTTGTATGCAGACTAATGGTTCCTTGCCTCTCAGGCAGTTGCACTCTGACAGTAAAGGCACCTCCTAAATAGTCGACTTTTACGACATGCTTGTTAGGGAGGTAGTGGGTCTCTTCTGGTTTCCTCCACAAATAGGATTTCAGAACCCACAGGGAAGATCCTCTATACCTTTGCACTTAAGCTGTCCAGTATTTCGTAGCTCGTCAAAAGTGTATAAATCAAGTATTTTACTTTCAAATTTAAAGGAAAAAAAAAAAAAAAAAAACTAAATCTAAAAACTTCTGAGAGGATTTAGCTTAGAAAACAAGACTCATTAGATTTTTAAGTTCATTCCATGGACCAGTTAATTTAGTTCTGCAGTATGAATAAATGTGGTATGTTTCTCGTAACTTCGTGGGATGCCCTGTCTTGACTTGGAAATGTTGCACGAATCATCCCTTTATTTTTCGTAGCCCACACACAGAGCAAGAGTTATATTTGAACACAGCTGTTATTACTGAGATATTTCAAAATGATTGTTTTCATAACCACAAACGTCAGTATAAATGTCTGAGTGTTACAGATCTCTCGCTACATACTCGTCAATATATCGGTAGCTACACAACCTTAAAGTTAAGGACTTGTCCACGCAGTCCACTGTAGTCTGCTTTTGGCGGGTATTCTGCACGCATGCTTCACAGCCTTATATGTCCGTAACGATATGCTGCTATACTTCATGAATGTTCGGATCTCCCCTTTGGGTGTTTAGCAAACGTGAAATCCACATCACTAGCCGAAGGTTATGTCATGACTGCAGGAAGAGTTTTGTCTCACTGCCAGAAGACGACCTCTCACTGTCTGTGCATCTGTTGCCCTTGCTGCAAGGAGGCGCGGTTTGTTTCTTACACGTGCACTGGCAATGATGGGGTACGACGGTTTGCTTCTGGCTCAGTACCGCCGCGTGGCCATGGTGGAAATGGTGGAAGCTATCATGATGATGGAAGTCCGTGCGTCGCCGCAGTAAATACATGGCGAAGATGATCAGAGCCAGAAGAACACACACACCCGCTACGGGCACCGCTATGTAAATAGGGTTGATGACTCGTGTGTCCTGGGACTTTAGCTGAGTTTCTGAGTTGGAACAGTTAGAGCTGCCAGACTTAGGTTGCTGTTGTTGCAGCGGGTGAGTTTCCTCCTCTTTATCTGCAACAGAAGCAGGAATTCATTTGATACGTGTTACAATATTTAAAAAAAAAAAAAAAAAAAATACCCAGTATTTGAACTGGGCGACATTCCTTGGGTAGAAGCTCCAACATTCGGTATAGAATCAACACTTCATTATCTTCACCTCCAGTGGCAGACATTCACATGGCAAAGCCCATCTATCTGCAATTCTCTCGCTTCTCTCTCTCTCTTATTTTCTCTCTCTCTCTCTCTGTGTTGTGTGTGTGTGTGTGTAGGCGGGTGTGACCAATGGCATTGGGCTTCATGCTCAGTCCAATTTATGCTGGAAATACGGCATAAAGTCTTAAATTTATGACAAAACCGCACTCGAAATGGTCAGTGTCTTACATGCCTTATCTCTTTAATAAATGTCTGGGGCCAATCTGTGAGACTGTTTATCTCAGAGATGCATGGTGATGAGCAAGCCCCTTCTAGATGAGGGTTTTCAACTAATGCCTCGGAAAGGTTCAATTCCTACACCTTTAAGCGCGCTAAGTATTGCTAGCAACTGCATTACTGCTCCCCACATCTTCCTCCCATACACAAACATATACAATATATATATATATATATATATATATATATATATATATATATATATATATATATATATATATACACACACACACACAATGTTTCCCTGAAAATAAGAAGGGGTCTTATATTAAGTTTTGCTCGAAGAGTCACTTTGGGCCAATTTTCAGGGGAAATAGTTTTTTTCCACATCTCAAAATGGCACTCGCTTGGGCATTTACAAATACCTAATTATAATTTACAGCATCATTTATTCAAGGCATTAATTTCAGAAATAACTTTTGTTTACTTGTATACATTCTTCTTCTTCTTCTTCTTCTTCAAGTCCACGCCGTGAAGTATTGCCACTCATGAATATCCATAACACTGTCTCGTGTAATGTCAATCAGCAACTTCTCTGTCGGTCTCTTTCTCTGTCGGTCTCTTTCTCTGTCGGTCTCTTTCTCTGTCGGTCTCTTTCTCTGTCGGTCTCTTTCTCTGTCGGTCTCTTTCTCTGTTGTTCTCTTTCTGCCTCTTTTCGCTTCCAACATTCCTACTGGCACGATGTTTTCCAGTTTTCTTCTTCTCATGACATGACCACAGAATGTAGTCTGTCTTCTTCTGACCACGGTAGCCAGTTTTCTCCTTCTCATGACATGACCACAGAATGTAGTCTGTCTTCTTCTGACCACGGCAGCCAGTTCTCTTCGCGGTATTTCAGGGTATTCTCATCATTTTTCTATACAATCACATCGACACCGCTTCCAAATAATGTTTCACTAATCGACCAACTGCGCATTATTTACTTTTGTATATCAGGCAGGTTATGAGAAGAGGGAAAATAGAACATGTTGTAACCACTGGAAAGATCTGTGGGAGGGAGGATAGAGGAAGACAACGAGAGAAGATTCTTGACAGTCTTGTTGCAAGGCATGGAGGTGTGTCAGTACACGAACTGATACATGCTGCAGGAGATCGACGATTATGGAGAGGCACGATCGCCCACGCCAGCCGGCAAGGCACCTGATGATGATGATGTTATCAACAATCTGTGGCTTAGGCGTTGCGAACGCGCTTAGTAATGTCTGGGTACCTGGTTCGATCCCTGCTGTAGACGGTTTGCCCTGCGATGGTTTCGACCGTGGTACCGAGAGCCGACCGTCGAGAAAGCATTGGCAAACTACTGGACGTAAAAATGCCTAGAAAAACCACAACAGCCAGAAAGTGCTGGGGTTGGTTTTGCAACGTCCTGTAAAGGATTTTTAAAACTCTTGAGAACTGTCTCGTCTCAATTTATAAATTAAAAAAATATATTAAAAAAAAAAAAAACCAATAGAATTTTCTTAATTATGTAAAATGCTGCCTTTGATTGAGATATTCTACACTTAACTTTATATTTACAATTCATTCCTTAACAATTCAAAACGTCCGCAGTGTGTTTGACAGATGGATCAAATCCGTCCGTTTGGCTGAGGATTTAGGTCGCAGGGTAGTCTAGTGGCCATGAACTGTGGTGACATTATGATTACCGTGTGGGTTTCAATGCCCCCAATTTGAAAAGAGGGAGGGGGGGGGGGAGGGTATCTGGAGAGAACCCCGTTTCCCCCCCCCCCAACAAGAATCTTGTAAGGGGCGACTAATTAGAAATTTTCCTTCCGAAGTCGGACAGCATCTGCCTGAGGGGCGTGGAACCAACAGTCTGCATACAAGTAAGCAAGGTCCGTAAAAGGAGCTGCACGCAAACTTCAAGTTCTGAAACAATAAAGTCCAAACGTGGACGAACAACTAGATATTTACGCCGGAGTTTAAGCAGCTGAATGCTAAGAAAAGAAGCTGATGATTATAATTTTTGACCTCGACATAAAAATACACCACGGTATCCAGGATTCGAACCTGGGTCGCACTGATATCAGTCTGAAGGTTAAGCTGGTTATGTGTTTTTTACAGGACGTGACAGAACAACTCAAGGATTTTTTTGCTGCTTTTGATTTTACTAGGCAATTTTATGTGTAGTTAGTTTGCCACATGTTACATCAAGCGTGTTCTGTTGTATGAGGGTGAATCTAAATGTTAACAAACAAATTAAGAAAAGTTTGGAAGCAACTGAGATGCGGTTCTTAAGAAGAATGTAACGAATACCTTGGATGCCAGAATAATTAACAATGCTAGGATGAGAATGGCTAATGACAGTACAATATTAAATACAACAATGAAAAGGACACAAAGTTCTTTGGTCATGTGATAAGAAAAGGAGCACTCGAAAATATTGTGACGACTGGAAAGATCACAAGCAGAAGAGGCAGAGGCAGACCAAGAGAAACGATAGTGGATGGCTTAAGATTGTGGCATAGAGGAATATCATCAGTGGAATTGATCCAGATCAAGACCGAGATCTGTAGAGATAAAGCGAACGACTCTGCCAGCTGGCAAGGCACTCTATGATGATGAGTTTGCTACAGTTACTGGACGGTTGACTCTTGATTTCTCTATCAAAACAAATCCTCCGCAGCTGGAATCGAACTGGCACCATGGAAGTATGAAGCGCGTTGACAACGTCCTAAGTCACAGACGCCGACTTTAAACACTTAGTAACAAAAATAAGCCTGTAAAACGGATGTACACGCAAAACTCAGGTCCTGGCACAAAGCTAAAGTCCAAATGGACGAAAAACCAGGACTTTCCACAGAAGTTTATAGCCAGTGGAAGTCGCCGTGGCGTAGAGGCTAGACCAGACGCTTGTCTGCGGGTGGAGGGTCGTGGGTTCGGGTCCCGATGGAACCGGATTTAAAAAAAAAATGACTGGCTCCCAGTTCGACCCAGCCTTGAGTGGGTACCAGGTACAAGTCCTGGAAAGTAAAGACGGCCGGCGTTATGTTGACCACATCACCACCAAATGCCAATTGGTCTATAAAATATAGGTCTAGCCCTATTTGCCCACTACGCCTGAAAGCGTGGAAAAGGGTCCTTTACTTTTTACTTTTTTACGATGGAGTAAAATGTTTTGTAAACGCCCTCTCACCTGGAGTGATCACCGTTGGTATTGCGTGTTTGTTGCACAGATCTTTATGGTTGCAACAGTACACCGAAGGCCACTCTAGCTCTACGCCAGCAGGCTTGCGGTTCTCACAGGCCAGTGGTGTGGGATCACACCCACGGCTGAGTTTATTTTGATAGAGTTCTGTGTAGCATGACTTGATGCCCATACAGGTAGTTCTTCCGGTGTCCCGGCACTCCGGCGTGTTACAATCACATCGAATCTGACCTGAAAATAAAAATCAACACATGCTGGTAAATAATAATAATAATAATAATAATAATAATTCCTCATGACCAAGATGAAAAAAAAAAATATAAAACGTTGACAAGAACAGTCCGCTTTATATGGTTCTGAAATTTAGAGCAAACTAAAAGAGATGAAGCCTTATTACAGGTTTTCGAAAACAGTCTTACGACGAATCTTTGGACCCATCAAAGATACAAACAGCGATGAATAGGGAGTGGGTAGCAACAACGAATTTCATAATATGTTTAAATCACCACTGATCACTGGCATCATGAGAGCCAATAGACTGAAATGGTTGGGGCATATTGAAAGAATGTCAGAGACAGAGGAGTAAAAACTGTATACACCAGAGGGAGATGAATGGTCGTAGACCACGAGGCAGACCAAGAAGACGATGGAAGAGATAATATCCAGACAGACCTGCAAACACTTGGTGTCATTAAGTGAAAAGAGAAGGCCAGCCAGAGAGATGAATGAAGGTGAGTGATATCTGCAGCAATGAAACTCAATGGCTCGGAATGCTGAAGAAGAAGAAGAAGAAGAAGAAGAAGAGAAGAAGAGAAGAAGAAGAAGAAGAAGAAGAAGAAAAAGAAGAAGAATCCTCATCCTCCCGTAACACTGCGTGTCATTGGATCACCATCTGTTGGCTGATAATAATAATAATAATGATAATGATAATAATAATAATAATAATAATAATAATAATAATAATAATAATAATAATAATAATAATAATATTAATAAAGAAAAAAAAAAAAGGAGGAGGCTGAGAAGAAGAAGACGTGGAACAAGAAGAAGAAAAAAAAAGACCATTACATTACTGGTACATCGGGAAGTTGACCATCATCATGTGTCGTGTCGGCAAGCGTAGGCTATCATGTTTTTGCCGTATAACATGATCACCGGCATCACGAATCAGGTCAATGTTTTTATCTCACCCGATCCAGCTGGCCAAGCCATCCATGTATTTGATCTCTTTGCTTTCCTCTTGCACGCTTTCCATCAACCTTGCCAGTTGTTATTTAGTTCTCGAATTACACATTTCATTTTATTTCAAGTGTTTTTTTTTTCTATTTATTTGCTATTCAGGATAATAATAATAATAATAATAATAATAACGTGAATGGTACATTAATATAAAAATATAGTTGAAATAATATGACGTGTAAACAAAAACAGTAAAAGAATACTTTTGTGATGGTTAAACCGGACATTTTGTCTCCGTTACAAACTTACTTGGGTAAGTGTGTGTGTGTGTGTGTGTGTGTGTGTGGTGAGGGCGGGGGGAGGGGAAGGCGGAGGGACCGCTCAGCCTGTCCTAATTTGTGGGGGAGAGGGCACTCATGACCTTAGCTCCCTTACAAAATTACTGGGTAAGTGTGTGTGTGTGCGTGTGTGTGTCGGGGGTGGGGGAGAAGGGGAGGGGCTGCTTAGCCGCTATTTATTTTGGATGGGGGTGGTGGGGAGAGAGCACTCATGATCTTAGCCCCTACCCCTCCCCAACACACACACTCACACTTGGCAGTGATCTCTTTTGGCGCCTGCAACCAAGGTATGTTTGTAACAACTGAGGCTGTTTTTTTTCAAAGTTTTTTCTCTACAGCCTATTGGCTAGACATCGACCTGGCTGCCTCGAGATACGAAGATGAGTGACACTGTGTATTTGTGTAGTATTGTCTAATTTATGTGTGTGCTGACGAAGGCTCTATAGCCGCAACGTTCAAGTTTTGTTTGCGTTTGTTATATTATGAAGCTCACTGATATTCTAAAGATTAAGGGCCGCATGCATAGTGTTGTCGCCACGAATTATGCAGGTAAGTACTAATTTCTTTTGCCCTAGATAGAAAAAGAAAACCCCAACTATACCGAGGATTGGAACCTGGGTCTCCTGCATGACAAGCGTTCTTAACCTTTCGGACAGCCGCTGCCCAGACACCCTCTTTAACCGTATGAAAACGTTTTTTTTTTTTAATTTATGAGAAGCCCCTGTGGATAAGACGACGCCTATTTCTATTATAGCTCAAAATTAGGAAATAAATACCGTAAAAACTTCCAGTGTATAAGACGACACCCAATTTAAAACGTAGAAAATTTGGGAAACATCACCTTATGGTTAGTTGTGTATCCTTTACAGGACGTTGCAGAACCAACCCCAACAGGCCCTCTCTGTTGTGTGGTTTTTCTAGGCAAATTTACGTCCAGTAGTTTGCCATTGCTTTTTGGACGGTCGGCTTTCTTGATACCACTGTCGAAACCAACGCAGGACGCATGGCCCGCAGTTGGGATCGAACCCGGCATCCCGGCATTACGAAGCGTTCGCATCGACTTAGCAACACAAAAAAAGTAAAGGTAAAGTTGGGAGATGCGAACCAGCGTCATTGCACACGGTTACAAACCATAAGTGCTCTGCCACCAGTACGGACAGCTGATAAGATATTGTCCGCCTGTGTCGCCGTTCGCACGTAACTCTGTAGCTACAGCGACGTTTCCCCATTTACCCAAGACTGTCACTCTGGTACCCATTTCCTAGAGGCTAGGTGAACCCTGGAAGCCGCCCGGTTTCGAATACCAACTTGAAAGCGAGCCTCCTATCAACTAGGCTAACGTGGCTCCCGCATAACCTTATACACGCACAAATTCGGTAGTATTACTGGGGCACCTTACGGTTACACAGTCGAATGCAAATTTATTTATTCGTAAATCAGAGAAATCTCCGCTGCTGTGCCATTCACTAACTTTACGGAAAGAAAAGAACTACTACTGGAGTGTTTTTATGGCTTCACGCCTTTCACTAAAAAAACCCAGCGCGTACGCTCACTATGAACACGTCACGGCCGGTGCCCGGTGCAAGATTTCATTGCTCTTGCAAATATTATTGATAGCGGACATTCTTATAAACAGCTCACCGGAGTTGGGGGGAAATGGCAGAATTTCCTTCCCCTTGACAATCACAACAAATTCTGCGTTCGGGGCGCCATCTGATAGCTTTCATGTTATCATCCAGGCACATGTCTGCTCGGCTAATGTCCCGTACACACAAATATTATGAGAAACATGTTCTACTTTAAGTAGAGGTCCCTTACAGACGGCTGTTTAAGATGTTTATATTTATGTTCTTAGGGAGCATCACACACGTGCATCTTCGGCATGAACCATTCTATGTTTAGATTCGCTAATTTTTGGGAGGTCTGAATTTTTTGACAGAATTCACGGTACTACCCCCAGGCAACTAAGTAAAAGCTTTGGCTTAACCGTAGCAGTTCGTATTTTAATCTCACATCTCTCTCTCTCCCTCTCTCTCCTTCTCTCTCTCCCCCTCTCTCTCTTTCAACAGCTAGTAGTTCTTCTTCTTCTTCTTCTTCTTCTTCTTCTTCTTCTTCTTCTTCTTCTTCTTCTTCTTCTTCGTCGATTTCACTGACTGTAAACTCTGGTTATTCGTCCACCACTGGACTTCAAGTCTTGTTCCAGAACCTGAGTGTCATGAGCACATCTGTTTTACATATCTTGATTATTTGTATGCAGACTGTTGGTTCCTTGCCGCTTCTTCTTCTTCTTTCTTCTTCTTCTTCTCGGCGTTAACCCGCTTTTACCTCTGGTAGAAAGTTTTGGTTGTTTATTAACTTGAAGACTTTGGTCTTGTTCTAAAACTTGAGTTTTGCGTGCACATCCGTTTTCACAGATGTGGATAGTTTGTATACAGACTGTTGTTTCCTCGCTTTCAGGAAGATGCACTCCAATTTTGGAGGAAACATCCTAATTAGTCGCCTTCTACGACTTGTTATTGGTCACGTGGCTATCCCCCTCCCCCCCTCCCCCAATGGGCCCTGGAACCCACATTGTTGTCACTCCAAGGACTCCTTAGTCTCCTCATAAATATTACTTTATGTTTGTTATATCACCAATTGTTTCTTCTCTTAGGACACACAGCTTAAAAAACGGACATTTCAAATATGACAAGGGAGTGGGCAAGACCTGCTCTAATGTTTGAACCGACCAAGTGCCTTCAGTCAGTCACTAAATACACGATGGTGAAAATGGATCCAGACACTAAACACTGGAGTACAAAATGGCTGCAATGTTTAGTTTGTAACCAAGATCATGGCGATACAGGCACTTAAGGCTAGCCGTCTCCGCTGTAAACACAGGCTGTCTGGAAACTCTACCACTGAATGGATCCTTTCAACAAACATGGGTCTGTCTGTCGCACCCTCTCATCAGCGTATGGCAATTAATGCAAATATAAGATAAGAGACTTGGCGTCGACAAGAAAGGTTCAACGAGTCGTTTGGACGCTGAAAAACATTCTAAACAGGCACCGGAAATGTATTCAGAAAGTAAATTTATTCACGGTGCCTCCTCAAAGATGACAGGGCGTTCAACACGCATAAATTATTGATGTTGATTTCTGGCACCACTTAGTTGTTGGCTGACACGCCAGACCACTTACTGCATGTCACAAACATTTGTTCGGTGGAGGTTGGGCGGTACACACACAGAGTCCTAGATTGTGAACCTCGGCAGCGGGACTCAATTTATCTACCTTTGCCTGTTTATTTAGTATAAATAAATGGTTCTTTACTTGCAAAGAAAGGTGCCCATAGGCGGAAACTTGACTGAATATATATCTTTATAACTTACGATCTATCCATCCATCTACTAGTCATTTTTTTTTACGAATCCAAATTGGAAAATTTAAATTTAAGATTTAAGTAAAGAGGATCGACTTTATTGCACTGGATTGTATCCTATGTGGTTCAGTCTCTCTCCACAGTCTGCCTGCCGTGAACGTCACCCAAAGCACGAACACCGCAGCTCAGGCGATGATCCCCAGGGTCTTCGTGAAAATTGTGCTCCTGATATGAACGACACAGCCTTGAAACAATACACGACCTTCAGATTGCAAGGCAGACGGCTTAACCACTTTGCCACTGAGACCCCCCCCCCCCCCCCCCCAAAAAAGATTGCCTAACTTGAAATCT